ACAGTTTGACTGAAGTGTGTGATGTTGTCATGGACATTTACAGTAGTTGCTACCACATTTTTAAGAATTGGGTCAAAATGTGACATGAGGGTCAGGATACTGTATATAACTTGTTGTGCATGTTAACAGTCTGCTCTGCTCTGTAATTGACTGTCACTGCATTAACTCCAGACTTACAGACCAGACTGAGCAGCAGTGAGAGTGAACTTCTCCTCAGCAAGTGCAGGATTGACCAGCTGGAGAGAGAAAATGCAGGTGATTAAATGTGTCAGTGCACTGATGCACTTAATATGAGCTCCAGAATAAATCTTTAAAAATCATTATGGTATGGACAGGTTAATTTAGCAACATTTTATTAGAAATAAAACACAAATATAAAACTTCTGTTTTCAGTCCAAGCCACAGACCTGATATCTTTGGAAACTAGACTGACTGCCACCGAGAGCAAAACAAGTGACCTAGAAAAAGAGACTGCAGGTATTTCACTGACAAACATGATGGTTTAATAAGTTTTGTGGTGTATTTTTTCTGTACTTTTTTTTTTTTCAAAATTGCTAACCAATGTCTACATAAGATAGGCCTACTTTTTTGACCTTTTAACACAGCAACACACCTACATCACATTAATTAGAGAAATATTTCATTTTCATCTCAAAACCATATTTTGTTCATTTAACTCTACATTTAAAAAACAAAAACTTCCTCTACACATACTAATGCTATCAAAACATAACAAACCCTACTGGATATCAAATCATTCTTTCACACATTTTCACATGTTTCTCGAGCTCAGAGAAACCACACAGGTGTCAGATGAGAAATGTCTTATGTGAATCATTTGTAACAGTCATATTGGTTGTTTTGGGCAGCACTGACAGATTATCTATTTTGCCATTTGGGCATGAGCACCTCCTGGACAGTGAGAGTTGAATGTGGTTTTCTCTCGTCACTTACAGTAGTTTCTAGTACATGTACAGGGTCAACAGATAAGATGAGAGTCAGGACAGTGTATATAACTTGTTGTGCATGTTAACAGTCTGCTCTGCTCTGTAATTCAGTGTCACTGCATTAACTCCAGACTTACAGACCAGACTGAGCAGCAGTGAGAGTGAACTTCTCCTCAGCAAGTCCAGGATTGACCAGCTGGAGAGAGCAAATACAGGTGATGATTCTAACACACACACACACATACACACATATGTATGTATACATGACTTACTTAGTCCAGGTAAAATTTAAAGTCATACATTGACTTTTTGTGTTAACAGAGAGACCAAAGGTGGCCTTTTACACAGCTCTGACTGATGCAGGAACTCTTGGACCATACAACACAGACATCACACTGAAATACAGCAAAGTCTTCACCAACATTGGCAATGCTTACAATCCAGCTACAGGTAATATACTGCAGGACACATGAACATGTGTGGTCTAATAGATCTACAGAAATAGGTTGTTACTGTTTTTCATTTTCTACTCTTACTCTGCAGGTTTCTTCACAGCACCAGTCAAAGGGGTCTACTATCTCCAGTTCACTGTGTGTGGTAACCTTCAGGGTTATATGGGTGTACAATTGTACAAGAACAACCAGCAAATTATGCATAATGAAGAGCGGAAGGAAGAAGGAGGTGCTGAGTATTTGACTAACTCTGTTGTCTTGGAGCTGAAGACAGGAGATGAAATTCACCTGGTTCTCCCATCAGGCCGTTCTGTCGTTGACAGTCCAAATAACCACAGCACCTTCAGTGGCTCTCTTCTCTTCACACTGTAAAGATGTTGTTCAGGCTGATGTGTGATTGACTTGTCACAAACTCTGTTGTTATTGAATACACTGTGATTCTTTAGAAGACGCTGATATATCTCTGCACTGCTGCCTCCAAAACAAATGTCTGTACATTTACTTCATATATCATATCTGAATCTAAATTCCCTCTTGTGTCATCACATGAAAACATTTAAGGAAATCAGAGACTCATTGAAGTTGTGTCTGCTCTCATTGTGTTTAGGTCTTCACAGAGAAACTAAGAATAAACTACACTGATGTTACATACTGTGACTGTTTGGATTCAATTCTGGGTTTTCTCCTGGTGCTCCGGTCATATTGCAAATCAACACAATAAAATGTGCCCCCCACTTCATCAGACATCAGTCAGTCAACCATATGTGTCGGTGTATGTCATTGTGAGTACAGAGATAATATGAATAAACCTGCTATCATGAGCACTTGTTACCATTTGATTTACTACAGCTGATACATGTCATACAGCAGGGAAATACTGCCCTCCAGTGATGAAAGTTCTGCCTCAAAGTGTTTGCACAGACTTTGGAGTACTTCAGAGGGAGGATACAAGCTTGGAAAAAATATGTGTTTCTCATTTTGCATAAAGATTAGAGATTGCATTAAATATTCAACTTCATTTCAATTAACAGTCTGTGCACATGAACATAAATAGCGAAAATCATAATATAATAGCTCTCCTGTTATTTTGTGGCTGTTCTATTTAAGTAAATTGCAGTGTTCTGTTAAGCCTTGAGCCACCCACTCCTTCAATCTTACATCTAATCTATCAAGTGCAAAATCTGGGTCATATGCTGACCATCTCAATAATTTGACAGCCTCTTTTAAATCATTTTGGGCTACGAACTTGTTCCACAACTTAAGTGGCAAACAAATCCACAGATTTCTCAAATCAGTCAAAATTATGCAGTGAACTCTTTTCCCCAATTGCAGCTTGAAATGGATATTCCTCTGTTTTAGCAACCTCAATCTCCCTCCACCTGGCAAAGTATTCTGGATTACATAGCAGCCTGTAGCAGCTTGTATTTTCTCAGCAGCACAGAGATCATATTGAATCATCTGAGGCCTTGACTCAAACTATCAAACACAAACACTTGTTGTTTTTCCCATTGGTTCAGCCAGCTGAAGTTTGGAGACTACATAAGACAGGCCAACTCTACCACTGTACCTTTGTGAAGACGTGTAAGTGGACAATGAGGGTTGTTGTTGGTTTGCTGTTGTTGCTGCTGGCTTTGTGTGGGTCAGGGGCTCAGGGGGAAGGTGGAGGCCTCGGACAGGTGGGTGAGATCAGTGAGTTTGAGGAGACAGCTCCAAGAGATGCAGCTGAGGAATCAAGCAAGCAGACCACAGAGCAAACCACCCCTGACATCTGGGCGGAGGTGAGGGCACTGAGAGACATGGTGGTGGAGCTCAAGGTGTTTGTGCAGATGCTGCAGAGAGAGAACTCTGGTAAAGACTGGGCACATTTCCTGTTGATTGTTAATAATGTTGTCCTTGAAGAGTTTGATGTGTCGTCTTGTCATGGATATTTACAGTGGCTGTTTGAATACTAGTTTAACAGACTCTGCATGTTAACAGTCTGCTCTGCTCTGTAATTCACTGTAACTGCATTAACTCCAGACTTACAGACCAGACTGAGCAGCAGTGAGAGTGAACTTCTCCTCAGCAAGTCCAGGATTGACCAGCTGGAGAGAGAAAATGCAGGTGATGAAATGTGTCAGTGCACTGATGCACTTATTATGAGCTCCAGAATACATCTTTAAAAATCATTTATGGTATGGACAGGTTAATAATGAAAAATATAAAAATACAACAGAAAACAAACATCAAACTTCTTCTGTTTTTCAGTCCAAGCCACAGACCTGACATCTTTGGAAACTAGACTGACTGCCACAGAAAGCAAATCAAGTGACCTAGAAAAAGAGAATGCAGGTATTTCACTGACAAACATGATGGTTTAATAAGTTTCATGGTTTGTAATTTTATATGCTATTATTTTGACTTTAATTCTAAGTTTCACATGCACATGTAGTATGTGTGTGTGTGTATTCGGCTGTCTGCAGCTAATCTTGCATAACACTGGACCTATCCTGTCAGCCTCATATTTTGTGTGTACATTTATGACTGGTTGCTCAAGGACCTCTCATTGTTGCGCTGATTCATAGTTGTTCAAAATCCTATTTTATTGACTGCTGACTCCTCACTTCTTTTTAATGGTCGGTAAGGGGCCCAAGTTTTCCAGAAATCCACATTTTAATGCCTCTACGCCTGTGTTAGCTGTCTTATGTTTTTGGGTTGTCCGTCCATCTGTTCGTTTGTCTGTCAGTCCCATTCTCATGAATTTGATATTTCAGTAACACCTTGAGGAAAAACAATAAACTGATTAGATTTTGGTGATTGAAGGTCCAGGTCAATGTGACCTCACAAAACATATATTTAGCATTCATTTCACACAAATGTCTGACAAGATAAAATGATGACATTTTATGTCCAATAGAACAAAGGCCACCTTCACTGTGACATCATAATGTTCTGCAAAACACTTTTTTGGCAGTTACTCAACGCCATAACTCAGACATCCGGAGGGAGCTCGGAGTAGAGCCACTGCTCCTTCGCGTCGAAAGGGGTCAGTTGAGGTGGTTCAGGCATCTGATCAGGATGCCTCCTGGGCGCCTCCTGCTGGAGGTGTTTGGGGGCACATCCCATTGGTAGGAGGCCCCAGGGCAGACCCAGAACACTCTGGAGGGATTATATATCTCATCTGGCCTGGGAACACCTTGGGGTCCACAGGAGGAGCTGGAAGGTGTTGCTGGGGAGAGGGACATTTGGGGAGCTTTGCTTGACCTGCTGCCCCCGTGACCCGGCCGTGGATAAAGGGATTAAAATGGATGGATAGATAATTCAGGAACAGAAGGGGAGACATTTGGTTGGACACTGATTTGGTGATTCTAATCTTGGGTGACCACCTAGAACTGTCCTGATTATGGCAGGCTGGGTTGAAGATGTGTGTGAAGCATCCACATTTTAGAATTTGTAGCTTCTTAGCAGCAACACCCACATGTGAAGCACTGTCTTCTGCCATGGCTACATATGAGTCTGGACAGAGATGGATGTAAACTGTAACTGCAGCTTGACTGGTTTGTGGTGGTATAAACTGCAAGGCTGTAATTTTTGTTTTGTCTGTTTTAATGGTGTCATTTCCTTCTCTGTTGTGCAGTAGCTTATAGACAAAGTTATTACTGGTGAAATTCCAGTAATGTATGACATGGATCAAAGAATTATGGCTATGTTTCAGTTATTAAAATACATTTCTCTCTTTCATGATATTTTATCAGTTTTTCACATACAGTGCATGTCAGCAGGAAAACTCAATCTGCTCTGTGCAATATGTCACAGGTTCTGAGCCGGGCTGCATTTTGTCTACTGGAATTACAAGAGTGTGTGTGATAAGCCTGGGCCTCCACCTGGATGCCTGGTGGAAATATGCACTCAGCTGAGTGCGCTGTTGTCATTTAAGATGTTTTTGGAATTCAATAACCATCACAAACATAAATCGAACTTCTTCTGTTTTCAGTCCAAGCCACAGACCTGATATCTTTGGGAACTAGACTGGCTGCTACCGAGAGCAAAACAAGTGACCTAGAAAAAGAGAATGCAGGTATTTCACTGACAAACATGATGGTTTAATAAGTTTCATGCCCTTTTATTGTCCATGCTATTATTCAACAGCAGGTTAGATTTTTACCTGATGATAGTATTAGATGGAAAGTTAAGAGATCACCGAAGTGTCAGTTTATCCTGAGAGGTACCTGAATATGTACCAAGTGTAAAGGCAAACTTCCAGTAGTTGTTGAGATATTTCAGTTTAGTTGCTTAAACCAAATCTCTGAGCTACAAGGAGCCACACAGGTGTAGGGTGAGAAAAGTTTTGCCATTTAGACCAATAGACCTGAGGACCTGATGGACTTTGAGAGTTGAATGTGGTTGAATCTTGTCATGGACATTTACTGTAGTTTCTAGTACTTATCTGAGTATTAACTCAACAGATAAGATGAGGGTCAAGATACTGTATATAGTTTGTTGTGCATGTTAACTGTTTTTTTTGTCTCTGTGCATTAACTCCAGACTTACAGACCAGACTGAGCAGCAGTGAGAGTGAACTTCTCCTCAGCAAGTCCAGGATTGACCAGCTGGAGAGAGCAAATGCAGGTGATGAATCTTCTTATCATAACACACACACACTCTCACACTACTTATTTAGTCCAGGTTAAGTTTAATAAATGTGCTTTTTCGTGTTAACAGAGAGACCAAAGGTGGCCTTTTACACAGCTCTGACTGAAGGATTTATTGGACCATACAACACAGACATCACACTGACATTCAGCAAAGTCTTCACCAACATTGGCAATGCTTACAATCCAGCTACAGGTAATATACTGCAGGTCACATGAACATGTGTGCTCATGTTCATTTACAGTGCATAAAGTAATTGTTAGTGTTTTTCATGTTCTACTCTTACTCTGCAGGTTTCTTCACAGCACCAGTCAAAGGGGTCTACTATTTCCAGTTCACTGTGTGTGGTAACCTCACAGGTCTTATGGGTGTACAATTGTACAAGAACAAGCAAAGGATGATGTACAATGGGGAGTGGAAGGAAGCTTCACATCTGAAGTATATGACTAACTCTGCTGTCTTGGAGCTGATGGCAGGAGATGAAATTCACCTGGTGCTTCCATCCAGCTATGCTATCTATAACAATGGAGATAACCACAGCACCTTCAGTGGCTCTCTTCTCTTCACACTGTAAAGATGTTGTTCAGGCTGCTGTGTCACTGATTCATCACAGAGTCTGTTGTTACTGGCTACACTGCAGTTCTTCAGAATATGCTGCCTCCAAGACAAACATCTGTACATTTACTGCATGTATCAAATAATGTGATTCTGAATCTGACTTCCTTCTTGTGTCATCACATCAAAACAACATTCAGATAAATCAAATATTCATTTAAGTTTTGTTTGTCACCACTGAGTGTAGGTCTTCATATATAAATGTTTTCTAAAAATACATTCATCCTCATAATTATATTGTATATTTCACATACAGTGCAGGTTAGCAGGAAAACTCGATCTGCCCTGTGCAACATGCTGTGGCTCCATTTAAATCTGTGACGTGTATTTCTTGGACGCTTCTGCACCATGTCCGCTGGAATTACAAGAATTGTCTACAGTGGCTGTAATCAGCCTTGGTGGCGGCTTCGTCGCCTGGCAGAGATCTGCACTCCACTTTCTTGTAAAGGACTAATTCATCCTACCCTGCAAATCCAGAGTTCTCGCGAGAGCACAATTTGAATTTGCTCAGCTAGATTTGGGTCTGGATTTCCAGGTTAACTTCATTCACAAAATGATGATTAATATATCAGTTATCTTGCCATGTTACCTTGAATTTGTCAAGAAAACTTGTTTTTTTCCTGCATACCTCCGGTGAACGGAGAGGAAACGTATGGAAGCGTATTGCATTCACTTGACAAATAAAAAAAGCCCTGTTTTTCGGAGTAATTTTTTCAGTTTTTTGGAGTAATTTATTTATTTTTCTGTTTTTTGGTGTATTTTTTTCTGTTTATCCTGAGTAATATTTTCTGTTTTTCTGAGAATTTTTTTTCCTGTTTTTCGTGGGAATTTTTTTCTGTTTTTCGTGGGAATTTTTTTTTGTTTTTTTTCTGTTTTTCGCGTTAGCTGACAAATGTGTATGGGCATGGTTTCAGTTGTCAGGTAACACTGTTACAACCTGTTACTAACCTAACCTGTTACATTGAGCGATAGGCCTACACTAGAAGGATGCAGTTAAAAACATAGCTAGATTATCATACCCTGTGTGTAACTAATTACGTGCCTTACCCTTATTGATCCTGTAGTTGAAATTGTCTAGGAGCAGGAGCACGGATGCAAAATACATCCATGAGCAGGAGTCACCATGGATGCAGGGGTCACTTGCAGGTGTCAGGTGGGAGCTTCTTGCGAGATTTTGAAGTATCTCGTCTCCTCGTTCGGGAAAAAAAATTACCACGAAAAACAGGGAAAAAAATACTCAGAAAAACAGAAAAAATTACCACGAAAAACAGGGAAAAAAATACTCAGAAAAACAGAAAAAATTACACCGAAAAACAGAAAAATAAATAAATTACTCCGAGTAAACAGGACTAAACGGGACTAAAAGCAAAAGCATATAAGTTTCCCTTGTAGTCCCAGACAGAAAGCGCTAAGGCAAGGCAATGCAGTGTGTTTGGGAAGTACTGAGGGTACGACTGGATAAATGAGACTTGGTTTATCCTGTATGAGTTGTGTGAGTATTTGTACACAGATGGTTTTGTGTGTTTGTAGTTGTCAAATATGGTCCCCATTTACTTTGATTGATTAACAGTGACTGCTGTTTTTGGATTCTTCACTGGAGGTATCCAAAAAAGACAAAATATTTTTTCAAGAATTCATCATAATACGGCAAGAATAATTGATATTGATATTGATATTGATGTGGATGAGGTATTCCTTTAAGTAATGAGAAAAGTGCACTCAGTAGAGTTCAGATATCAGCCAGGCATTCAAGTGGAGGCCCAGGTCGATCGCAGCCGCAGTGTTGCACGGAACAGATTGAGATTTCCTGCCAACGTGCACTGTACGTGAAATAAAGATAGAACATAAATATAAGGAAGTATTTATTTTTAATAAGTAAACCACAGCCACAAATCTTTGATCCGAGACGCATGACAAACTTACCTTACCTTTATCTGTTGGCTACAGCACAACAAAGGAGGAAATAACATTATCAAAAGAGGCAAAAAATGTGGTTTGTATCAGAATGTATGACTTGTTGTTTTCAGCTGATCCAATTTCTGGAAATTTTGTCCCCCCTACTGGCTGATAAGAGGTATGACGAGTCAGCAGTCAGTAAAACAAGATTTTCAACAATTAAGAAACCAGTAAAAAGTCCTGCATTCAAAAACGTAATTATGTGAAATAACATAATTACTATGAGCTAAATGTACCTGCAATGTCAAAAGTGTAAGTGGCTACTCATTAGGTAGAAAAAAAGTCCCTGTGAGTGTAATGAATATTATGACTGGATTACTGATGTGTTAATGTGTAAGCGACATTTTGAAGATGTACCTTGTTGAAGTGGAGCTGATTATTTACTTTGTAGACATTCACTGTAATTTATGAAGTGATTATAGGTTTTGTATGTAAACTCTTGTTGTTAAAAGTAACTAGCAACATTGAAAGACGGCAGCCCTCAGCACTGCAGCATCACAGAAATAAGCTGCTGGTTTCAAACTGGACTGGCTTCTTCTCACTGTGTGCAGTCCACATGTTCTCCACATGTCTGCATGGATTTACTCCTCCAACACATGAAGGTCAGGTAACCTGATTATACTGCTAATAAACATGCTTCCAATAAAAAAACAAAACACATCAATCATCAATCACAGGCTATGTGTTTCTGTCACTGAAACACAATATGAGGTGATTGCAGTCTGTATGGTTTACTTCAGCTGATACATTACATACAGCAGGGAAATATCGCCCTCCAGTGACAAAAGTTTGATCCTGCATCAAAGTGTTAAGACCTTTGAGTACCTCAGTGATAGGGTACAGCATTGAAAAAATATATTTCTCATTTTGAATACAGATTGGAGATTGCATTAACTTTTCAGCTTTTATTCCAATTAACAGTCTGTACACATGAACGTAAATATTGGAAATATATTGTGTAAAATTATTATTTAACCTGCATTTGGATCAGCATCAAAGTAAGAGTACTGAAAAATAATTATGGTGTGTTCATGTCTAAGACTTTATGTCATATAAATCATAGCCAAAAACATTTATAGTGTTGATCTATAGTGCTGCTAGAAATATTATTTATAGAGTTATTGTTTTAAGTTTTTATTCATGAGAAAAATATTTCATGTCAAAGCAAAGGCTAATCTAAAAAATGTATCTGAGGTACGTGATGGAAAAAAACTAAAATACGATAAAATACTGCATAATCAACAATCTAAACAAAACCATGACAATGTGACTCACTCAAATACTACAGGAGAATTCCTACCTCATACCTAGTGAGAGTGACTGCATGACTAGCTGACCCCATGACATTTTGATATTAGGTTTATAATATATCAGAGAGAATGAGGTGAGTCGTGAGACAGAGCCTTCTCTGAATTGAATCAGATAACCCTCAGTCACACTAAAAGGCCTCAGCATTAGGATAAGTGTGTTTCTGTGACTGTTTGTCTGTGTGTGTATTAATAAACAGGGTGTATGCACAGCTGTGACTGCATGAGAGGGGATCATAGTCAAAGTGTTGCAGCAGCCTGTAGCAGCTTGTATTTTCTCAGCAGCACAGAGATCATATTGAATCATCTGAGGCCTTGACTCAAACTATCAAACACAAACACTTGTTGTTTTTCCCATTGGTTCAGCCAGCTGAAGTTTGGAGACTACATAAGACAGGCCAACTCTACCACTGTACCTTTGTGAAGACGTGTAAGTGGACAATGAGGGTTGTTGTTGGTTTGCTGTTGTTGCTGCTGGCTCTGTGTGGGTCAGGGGCTCAGGGGGAAGGTGGAGGCCTCGGACAGGTGGGTGAGATCAGTGAGTTTGAGGAGACAGCTCCAAGAGATGCAGCTGAGGAATCAAGCAAGCAGACCACAGAGCAAACCACCCCTGACATCTGGGCGGAGGTGAGGGCACTGAGAGACATGGTGGTGGAGCTCAAGGTGGAGCTGAGGAACACGGAGGCCAGAGTGAAGGACAGTGAGAGCCAGGTGAATGACCTGAAAGCTGAGCTGATGGTCACCAAGGTGCACGTGGAGCTGCTGCAGAGAGAGAACTCTGGTACAGACTGGTTACTCTTCCTGTTAAGAGTTGATGATGCCGTCCTTTGACAGTTTGACTGAAGTGTGTGATGTTGTCATGGACATTTACAGTAGTTGCTACCACATTTATGAGAATTGGGTCAAAAGATGACATGAAGGTCAGGACAGTGTATATAACTTGTTGTGCATGTTAACAGTCTGCTCTGCTCTGTAATTCAGTGTCACTGCATTAACTCCAGACTTACAGACCAGACTGAGCAGCAGTGAGAGAGAACTTCTCCTCAGCAAGTCCAGGATTGACCAGCTGGAGAGAGAAAATGCAGGTGATGATTGTAACACACACACATACACACATATGTATGTATACATGACTTATTTAGTCCAGGTAAAATTTAAATTCATACATTGACTTTTTGTGTTAACAGAGAGACCAAAGGTGGCCTTTTACGCAGCTCTGACTGATGCAGGACATGTTGGACCATACAACACAGACATCACACTGAAATACAGCAAAGTCTTCACCAACATTGGCAATGCTTACAATCCAGCTACAGGTAATATACTGCAGGTCACATGATCATGTGTGTTCATGTATCTCTTGTCACTGTTTTTCATGTTCTACTCTTACTCTGCAGGTTTCTTCACAGCACCAGTCAAAGGGGTCTACTATCTCCAGTTCTCTGTGTGTAGTAACCTCACAGGTAAAATGGGTGTACAACTATACAAGAACAACCAGCGGATCATGTATAATGATGAGCGGAAGGAAGAAGTGGGTCTTGAGTATTTGACGAAGTCTGTTGTCTTGGAGCTGATGACAGGAGATGAAATTCATCTGGTTCTCCCATCAGATTATTCTCTCTATGATGATTCAAATAACCACAACACCTTCAGTGGCTCTCTTCTCTTCACACTGTAACCACGTTGTTACCACAAATATCAAATACTGTAATGTGATCCTGAATCTGACTTCCCTCTTGTGTTTCTCACGAAAACAATATTCAAATAAATCAAAGACTCATTGAAGTTTTGTTTGTTATCACTGAGTATAGGTCTTCATATATAAATTTTACATGAGCTCCACTGATGCTCACATACTGTAACTGTGACAGGGTCAAACCATGCTGTAGAGCCTGAGTGAGATGTTATTGAGATATATTAACTCCAGTCTCCAAACCCATCAGAACCCACCAGCTATTGTCTGATGATGAGGATAAAGACTCTGGGGTTGATGGCCAATATTTGGAGAGATCAGGGGCATATTCAATCTGAGAACTGTGTGCACTGTTTTGCTACAGTTTTTGGGTTGAACAACATGTTTCCTCGAAACGGCGTTCAACAGACTTTAAGGTCAATTTCCTTTTTTTTTGTCGGTGTGTCAGAGGTGTTACCCAGTCAGCAGGCACATATAGTTAAAATGCAATAACAGGCAGTTCACATAGCGGTAAGGCTCCTAATATGCTGGTAGCCAACTGCTGTTAAAATCCAAGAAGATGTAAAGGAGAAGAAGGCAGCATGCTTGCATGCACAACAAGGTGTTGATGCACCAGTGTTTCTGTTTGAATAAACTTCCTGTTACATTTTATCAGGGCTGAACTATGGAGGTATAAAAAGGACTGGATACAGCGTTAGAAAAAGTTCCTCAGTAGCGCACAAAGCAAAAAAAAAGCTTGATTTCCACAATGTAAAAGTACCCGTATCTCCAGCATCATGAGACCCATTGAGCAGGCACACTAGAGACTTTTGGCGGCCGAGCGGGCTACTTCCCTTTAATGCTTTACAAATTTGAATGGGGATAAAATGTTGTAATCGTGCAGCTCTTCTAGACTTTTGAAATGTTATTAGACCGAGTGGATTAAATCCTGATCATGAAGTTAATCATTCGCAGTGGTTGTGACGCTCAAAAGAAATGTATCCACTGATTGATATTTGTCTCTTTACAATGTAAGTCTATGGGAAAAGGTATTTTTAGGCCCTGTGGAATCACGAGATGGACGCAGTCATTGTAATTCCACATTTGGCCACTATGACTTCAATGCCTGTCCCTGCTCCTGAGGACTTGGGCTGGATGCACCTCAGGTGTAGCCAGAAGGTATCTGGGCCAAGACTTCCTTTTCCATGGGCTGCTCATTGTTTACAGTTTGATTAGTGACTTGAGAGAGGTCGAGAAAACATTTTGGCCAATCTCCATAAACGGATATCTGCATATGAAAGCAGCTCAATTAGAATAAAGCTAATAAAAAGCGACATTGTCATCAGATGACAGCTGACGGCTTCAGAGATTACATTTCTGCCAATGGGTTGCGCCTCTTTTGCTCTTCACAAAGACTGTTTACCTGCAGGCAGCCAAAACCCGCTCAAACATGATTGGTTCAATACTACTCAGACTACAAATGGAAACCAGAACGCTTCCAGTAGCAAAATCTTGTTGCTTACAGATTCTGCATTTATATGCAGTCTTTACTGATTTAAATTCAGTAAGTCTCCTCCCTACATTTCACAGGTTAAGGAGTATGATGGTTTTAAAGAGCTTACCTAAAATATCGATTTGCTTCCTCCTGGGTCCTCTCTCCAAAGCCAAAAATCTACCCATAGACTCTCTTTCTCTTACAACTAAAGAATGTTCAGCTTTGGTGGGTTTTTTTTTTTTTTCCTATTTTCAAAATGGCAATAGTCCACAAAGTTGTTGAATGAATCTAACAGCACCAGTGGTGGAAAAGTATTATGATCATTTACCTAAAAATACTGATGCATTTTTGTTAAAAATACTTCAGAAGTAAAAGTCTTGCATTTAAAATCTTACTTCAGTATAAACAAACAAACAATCAAACAACAAAAAGGATTACTATCTGCTAAATGTTACCTACTTAAAGTATTAAAAGTAAAAGTATGCTGAAAAATAGCTACTGTCTATATTATATTACAACATATTATTCAATCCTTTTCCATAACCGCTTATCCTGTTGAGGGTCACGGGGGGGGCTGGAGCCTATCCCAGCTGACATTGGGTGAGACACCCTGGACGGTCGCCAGACTATCACAGGGCTGACACATAGAGACAGACAACCATTCACACTCACATTCACACCTAAGGGCAATTTGGAGTCACCGATTAACCTGCATGTCTTTGGACTGTGGGAGGAAGCTGGAGTACCTGGAGAAAACCCACTATGACATCACAACTTGTGAACTGGTCTGGGAAAGGTGAGGTGCTTTACCCAAAGTGATACAACGTAAGGGACTCTGAGGATGAAGACAGCTGATTGGCCTACATCTGATGAACTGCCCCACCTCCGTTACAGATCACTTTCCTGAGCTTTTCTATGGGACCTTTGGTCATGCAGTTTGTCACTAACTTTGCCTGTCAGCTGTTTGGTGCTGAGCGGGTAGTGTACAGCGGTTCCTGAGAGCTTTTTTGTCCCCTCACTGAAAACACCTTCCTGCTGTGGCTGAAAACAACATATGACAACAATGAGAATGAACCAAATCAGTAAAGTTGCCGAAAAATTGCTCATAATGCTGTAAAGCCGAAGACAGCAAACATTGTTGCATTAAAGCTGCTTTACAGTACCTTAGTAAATGTATTTAGTAATTTCCAGCTCTGGGCTTCAGACACCCATGACCCAGAAAAGACAAAGAATGAATGAAGGTGCGTGCAGGTATTTTACAAGACAGTTTGCCTACCAATAATGAGTGCTACACCCTCAGACACTCATGCCATCCTTTCAAAACTGATTATGTGACAATACAAAACACATCTTTTAGTCTCTCTCCTCTACTCGAGTTGATTTTTAGTTCATTAAATGGATATTTAGAAACAATGAATGTCTCAGTGTCTTAATACTCTACCATTTTTTACTGAATCTATACACACGTTTAATGTCTTTTTAATAGCCTACTCTTTATTCATATTATTCATGTCATTAATTCAGATCAAAGGCATAATTACAGCATAACATGTATCTTTCCAGTTAGTGAAAGGTGATTAATCTATGGTGTTCTTATGTAAAGAAAAAGAATAAAAGAAAATATAAGAAGAAAATAATAGACTGATAATATAAAAACATGTCCATGCATTTTTAAAGTGACAGTGACAGCTCTATGAGGTACTTATCCATAGTCAGTGTATTACCTACAGTAGATGGCAGTCTGCACTCTCCCAGTTTGGAGGAATCACACCTGACCTGCGGTGTAATACAGTGCGTGCCAAAAGGAAAGGACTGTCTGACAGCGAGGTAAAGCTGTGAATATACACCTACTCAATATAACATCCACTTAGACTAATATTGATTTTTAGGTATCTTTTTTCTAAGGGCTAAAATATGTTTTGCTGCTAACCCCTATTCATAGCAGTGCATAGCTGAGCCTCTGTGGTACTAGTCCCATCTGCTTCTCCAAACACAGAGCGTGCCAACCACCATTTACTGTAGGTAATACACTGACTATAGATAAGTACCTCATACAACCCAACTTCAGAAAATCCTGGCTACCCCTTTAGTGTCTGATATGATCTCATTGCTTCATTGTGATTTTATCTTTTTTAAGCTATACTGTTACAAAAGGATTTCCCTGTAGGACAATAAAGATATGATCTGCACTGGGATGAACTATCTGCACACATTTCTAACATGGACACTAGATCAGATTGGATTCAGCTTTATTGTCATTGCACATAGAAGCTGTATGTTAATAGCTATATAAAAAATGCATGGAACAGAAAGACTAATAAACCAGTGAGGCACTGATAGTAAGAAGAGATGTAACTTTGATGTGTAAGAAATAACCAAACAATATAATAAATAAATAATTTCCCCTCGAGGATCAATAAAGTATTTCTGATTCTGATTCTGATTCTAAATATACAACAGAAAGGTTAGTGTGAATGAACCCATCAGCCTTGGTGTGTTAGTGCATAGACAGTCCAACACAGTACGGAGAAATAAAAATCATTACTGTTTGGAAACACTGCACCCAAATGACTACGTCTTTGCTTTAGTGCCTCTTCTCTTTTTTGTTTCTAATATGTGTAAAATAAAGCTGAAATGAGGAAGTCTGGATGCTGCACAGTGGTAGGAAAAGAAACTTTCCCCATTACTAAATCACTTTAAGGGCATTTTGCTGCATAAACTGTCTCAATGGCAATGATGGATCTGCTCGGAGGAGATTATGATTACACACAAAAAAGGATTTTCTAAGAACTAAAGAAGAGTGAGGGAGATAAGTGGATGAGGGAGAGGGTTTCCCTCACAGGGACTCATCACAGCGTGATGTCCAGCAGCCACAGGAATATCAGATTGGGGAGAATGAGTATCACTCAGAGAGTTCATTTTCCCTGGAGATGGGCTTGCTACCTCTTTAACTATGGAAACCCTGAGTTTCATTCTCCCATCTGTTTTAGCTGTGATCTGTCCCATGGCATTTGGCACACAGATTAGAGTAATAGGAGAGAAGGGGCAGCGGCACATTTAGAGACCGTGAATTGCATTCTAGGCAGCGCTGACTGGAGAGGAAGGGCTACAAAGACATAAAGGAGTGAAATCACGTCCTACACAGAGAGAAAGAGAGAACAGGCCTTTGAAAGGGTTTTGCTGTGAATGCATTTAAAGGAGTGAAATAATTGGATGCTGGAGGCCTCGTCTCAGCAAAAGCAAGAATGCAAACCCCATTCTTTCCATGAGAGTGAGGCATGTGGAGGAGGTAAAGTCAGGTGACAGGGGTTGTCATCCAGTAAAATCACAACCAAAGGATTTTAATATCTTTTCTTTCACACAACACCGTTCATTCAATATAAACAGAATTAGGGCATTTTTTTCTGCAGAATTGTATCTTGGGAAGAAGCCAAGTTATACATCGGTACCAGGGGATCTACACACGGTATTGCTTCTTCAGAGATATTGATCCTTTCATGGCTATTCTGCTCCGCTGCAGATGATAGCAAGCTGCTTTCCCGCTCGGTGTCGTCCTGGTGA